CTCTGCTGGAAGCCAGCCGGCTGCACAAGACAGTGGAGCGGCGGGATAAAGCCGGCTGTCCAGCGCTCCCCAGCCCAAGGCCTTCTGCTGAGCCACCTCCCCCGCTGCAGGGGCATTCTGCAGAAGCCCACCGCACTCACGGCCACTGAGGCTGGGTGAAACCTGGTGTGTCCTCACGCTGGGCAGCCCAGGAGGGAGCCTGGAAAGCCCCTGAAGCCTTCGCAGCACAGAAGGGATGAGGGAACGGTGCAGGACACAGCAAAGACACTGGTAGGGCAAGTGGGTTTGAATTTTTTTTTTAATTATTTTTAATGTATGATCTTAAAATAGGCATCCTACCGCTAGCCTGGATGCTGTACCCCACACAGAGCCTGCTTTAGCCGCCAGGTAGCCCCGCTGAAGCTGAGGGCACAGCATGGAAATTTGTGGCCCCAGATGGGAGTTTGTGGCTTTGGGGACTCTGTCTGGCTCCAGTTGTGGCTAACTAGCTTCAGCCAGTGACTAATGATCTTCAGCAAGCGTGAATCGAGTCTCAGCCAGCTACAGCTTGAGGTGGAGCCATGACACGGGGGCTGGTGGCCCCCAGACTAGTATCCCGGGAGCTTGGGATGTCCCTGAAAGGCAACTTTGAGTTTCCCTAGCCCTGTGTTCGAGACAAGCGCCAGAAGCCTTGGCTTTGGACTTGGCAGGTGCTAATGAACTCTGACAGCACCTGTGGGAGCTCGGCTTGGCTTCTCCGGCGCTGGGGCACGAGCCCTCCCCTCACTCAGACCTTCGTGCACACAGAGAGCCCATCCGTGGTCTCCTGCACATCCACAGCTGTCGTGCCACTGCCCCTTGCTCGGGCCTTAAACCCAGTGAACACGGGGCAGATGGGCACATGCTTCAGCCACCGGCTCCTCCTCACCGCGCTCATCCCGAAGGGGAAGTCGTAGCTCCTCAGGCTGGCGCTGGCTGCACTGTCCGAGTGCGCGCCTGCCTTCCACTGCACCAGCCCTCGCTCCTCCTGCGTCCCTGAGGCACCGGCACCGTGTCAACCAAGCCCCGGCCCCTGACTGCCCACAGCACCAGCCGCCCCTCGCCCTGCAATCCCCTCTCGCAGCCCAGAACCAAAATGAATCTGCATCCAACCCTCCTGTTTCCTCCCCCCGGCTCTCTGCTTTAATTACCCGGGATGGTGTTGTCCAGAATGAAGGCGATGGTCCCCCCAACAAACATCTCTGTTGTCAGCAGCACCGTCAGGATCTGGTCCAGCTCAGGGACACCTGCAAGAGAGTGGGGACTGAGCTGGGCCCTGCTGCAATAAGACAGATTTGCTTAATTAATTGGTGGTTACCCAGGGTGGGCAAGTATCCTCAAGATCTGCCCCGCTCTCTCCCTAAGCATCTGAAACTGGGGCTTTTCTTAGTGGGTGTGTTGTACCTGTGTTAATGGCCTTGGGGTGGGAATCCAGGTAATTTGGCAGTGTCAGCCCAAAAAACATGGCAAAGCCCAGCACAAAGAGGTTGCGGGAGGAGTTCATGTCGACGAACTGCAAGTTGGAGAGGCCGACGGCCGTGATCATGCCTGCCAGCAGAGACAGCGGCTGCGCTGCAGGCGGGCAGAGGTGCCCGAGCTGCTTCCACCAGCCAGGAGCCAGGCAGGGGGGTGCTGCCTGCAAAGGCAGCGAGGGGCCTTCAAATGCAGCTGCTGTTCAACCCCAAACCTCAAAGCCCGCCCTGCATCCCTTGGGCTAGCCAGCCACTGAATCTCCAGGGAAATGGCCCAGGGCTGATGATAACAGAGATCCGGGTTGGAGGGGCTGCAGTGAGGTTACCGAATAAGGTGCAGAACATCCCGCCGAGGATGGGGTCGGGCAGGGAGGCGAAGAGCGCCGTGAACTTGCCGATGGTCCCCAACACAAGCATGATCCCGGCCCCGTACTGTATCACCCTCCTGCTCCCCACCTGCACGGAGAGACTGGCAGCAGGTGACAGCTCCTGTCCCCCCTGCCCAAGCCGGGACCCCTCCCCAGCCCTGGTACCTTCGTGATGCCCAGGACGCCGATGTTGGGGCTGGAGGAGGTGGAGCCGTTGCCAGTTCCCAGCAGCCCCGCGATGATGCAGGAGATGCCTTCAGTGAAAATGCCCCTGGGGAAAACACAAATGGGCTGGTCCCCACCGCTGCTCCCCTGCAGCCTCCCTGCCCAGTCCCCAGGGCTGCCACGGTGCAGGCAGGGTTAGGGGGGTGGGGGGAGCTGGCCGTACCTGTTAATGGCATGCACAGGGGGAGGGGGGGCTCCCGCCAGGCGGGCACAGGAGTAGTAGTCCCCGATGGACTCGATGATGCCTGCCAGCGTAGCGCTGAACATGCCCAGCACAGCTGCCGAGGTCACCGTGGGCAGACCCCACTGGCCTTCCCGGGGGGCATAACGGGATGTCAGGATGGGGGTCACCCCAGGACCTGGCCCCCCTGGTGCTTCCTCGTGCCGTTTTGGGGGCCCCCCAGGCGATGGGGGTACTGGGGGGACCTGTGCGCCGCAGAGCTGCCTGGCACTCACAGGGGTAGGGGACCCGAAACCAGGGTGCTGCGGACAGGATCTCCCCCCGGGCGTCTGTCCTGGCCTTGTAGCCGTATGCCTCAGGCTGGCTGGGGAAGACGCCGGTGCACGTCAGCACGTAGCAGAGCAGCCACACCACCATGATGGCCAGGATGATCTGCAGGGGCAGTGTTCAGGGATGCACACCACATTGCTTGCAAGCCCATGCATGGAAAAAGGGGGGATTTTTTTGGGACTCCCCAGCTCTCGGTCAGTCCCTACCGGGAACATCTTGAAGATCTGGACGCGAAACAGGACGAAGCCACGGCCCCACCGGTAGCCGGGCAGGCAGATGGCGATGTGCCGCAGGTACTGGGCAAACAGGATGATCAGGAAGATGGTCCTGAGGGGACAGAGATGATGTGCCTTGTGCCCCTGGTGCCCTTCTGGCTCTACGGGGGACACCCCTTCCCCCTTGCCTGCCCCGACCCGTGCCGTACAGCGTGGCAATGCCCCAGTGAGAGCCAGCCCGCTCGCCGGCTGCTTGGAAGACGGAGAGTCCGATGAGGGAGATGGTGGGGGTGACGGTCAGCGGCCCGATGTAGCTGAGCAGTGCCCCGGGGAGCCCCAGCAGCCCGATAGCCACCTCCACCAGGCTGGACACCACAATGGCCCCTTGGATCTGCAAAGCATGAATTGACAGGGGGAGCTCAGGAGCCTACTGGGGATTTTGGGGTCCCCCGGGGGTGCCAGCAGGACATACCTCTCGCATGCGGGGCTGCCAGATGTGGGAGGTGTTGAGTGGCAACGCCCAGTTGCCGTAGATCTGCTCTGGGGATGGAGAGGGGTGAGGTGGTCCCTGGGTGGGGGAGCAGCTGGACAACCCCCGTTGCACCCCCTCTGCCCTCACCTTCAGGCGGGCATTGCCACTTCTCCAGGGCCAGAATGGCTTTGGCGGGGACAAGGAAGGCCAGCGCACTTGCCTGGAAGAGGGGCAGCCTGGGGGGGGACGAGAGGGGACGCCTGCGCCCGCGGCCTGGGGATGGGCAGGGGGGTCCCCGCTGGGGCCGCGGCTCTACCTGATGCCCACAGTGGTCTGGATGAGGGTGGTGATGCCGACGCAGGTGAAGATGGTGCCGATGAGGTAGCTGACGGTGAGCTGGTCCTTGCCCACGCACAGGCTCTCAGCCAGCAGGAAGGGGACGGCAATGGTGCCGCTGAAGCAGGTCAGGTAGTGCTGGGGGGT